TCCCAATATTATGAAGGAAAGTGCTGACTATATACAGGACTATTTTGTGAATTTGTAATGAAAAAGGGAAACTGGTGGTGAAAATGTTAAATTTTAATTATTTTGTGTGTGTTTATTTCTAAGCACATTCTGTGCTTACTGTATATAAAGGATGGGTTATTAGTAAAACACGGTTAATATTGATATAGGCAGCAGATTGGTTGTGTAAGATTGCATTGACAGTGCATATATTCTCCATGCTATTTAGTTTTAAACTTAGAGTTACAACACGTGATGGTTGCCTTTGAAATAAATAAAACCATTCATTGATATACTTGTATGTCAAACCAAATGCGCCCTCTATCTCTCTGACGTGGAAAGTTATTTGCATACAACCTGGTGCATGTATATTGTATGTCGTATTTTTAACCTCTACAACTGAATATTTATTGTGTTTTGTAGCAAAATCAAATTAGAGTGATCGAAGAATTTAAAGTTTCTAAGAAAAGTAAATGTGGTATTATCACATTTGTATCCAAGTTTGAGGTGAGTGTAATTTTCTAATGATTGGAAATGGGAAATAAAAATACAGATCTGATGGTACTGCATAATTTTTAATAAAATTTTGAAGATGTAAAAATATATTGTAATTGAACTGATAGTAACTTCACTACTGAGCATTTGAATATTTGATGCTTAATTTTGCAAATTTTTGAATATGAAAATTTCTGCTCAGCACTTTGATAGTGAACTTTTTTACGTGTAAGAACATACTAAATGAACCAATAAGTTTTCATGGTTTTCCTCATAAAGGCGTATTGGCTGTTTCCTTCTCTAGACACCAGAGATAGTATTTGTTGTTGTACTTAACAAAGGTGCTGAGCACTAAACGCAAAGGAAAGTTTATTGGCTTAAAGTAGGGTTTAGTTCGTGTTATAATCCAAAATTCTCCTTGAAGAGTTGTAAGCAGGAATTTTGTATTGTCTTAAACCAGACGTTTATGGGATGTGTTCTGTCAATCACTCAATCTGACATAACTGCCTGGACTGTTCAGGTTCTAAATCTGTAAAGAAACACAGCATAACACATACATATGTCTGTCAATTTGTGAGATCTAAAAAATTTGCAGTCAAGTAATCTTTCAGGCAAACATTAGTATGACATATATATATATACACATCATATATACATGTACATATATACGACATATATTAAAAACAATTGATGAGAAATTAAAAGAAAAGTTTACAACTGAGTGGAAAAATGAAATAAATAATGACAATAGGAAAAAATCAAATTCTAAAAATAAACTAAGAACCTACAAACTTTTTAAAACCAAAATAGAACAAAAAAACTACTTAACAATTATGAAAAACGGTGAACTTCGCAAATCCAAAATTTAGACTTGGCAACCACTGTCTGAAAATTGAAACAGGCCGACATACAATCTGCAATATGTGCGACAATGACCATGTTGAAGATGAACAACATGTTGTCAAAAATTGTCCTCATTACAATGAAATAAGATTAAAGCGTTACATTGTAGCTGATAAATGTATACCAAATTTTGACAAATTTAGTAATGAAAATAAATTCATATCATTATCATTAGCACAATATTTAAAAAACTGTTTTAATACAAGACAGCAGCACTTACATAAACTAAGCCAGTAACACATACAAATTTTTATCATTTTTTTTCTTTATGCTTTTTGTTTCTTTACTTTTTATGTAGTTATTTTTCTATTACTAATATATGATTTGTAACCCTTTTTACCCCCACCCCCCGGGGGGGGATGTTGTGTGTTAATAAATAAATCATACTACCGTGTATGCATATAGCTAAACTTTCAGATGATATATATGTTGTTATATTAGCATCCTTAGTAATTTTAATAGAATGTCTAAATCACAGATCAACTTTTTAACATATTTAAATATTGTTGCTAGCTTGAAGGGCAGTAGTCGTCGCGCCACGCATGTATGAGATATGGGTTCATATACGTTAAAGTCCTAATATAAACCACGGTTTATATTGCAATGTATCAAATTAAAAATTGGGGTCAAAGGCTCAAGTTCGAGGTGCGGTTTCTATTATGTACATAATGCAATCAATAAATGGGCGTGGTCATGTTTTGCCACAACACATGCACAAAACAAATCAAAACACCATACAATCTCTTGAATAGGCGAATGAGACGTGTTTATTGACCGAATAGGTCAAGTCGCTAATTAACCAATCAAAATGCTGGATGGTGCCCACGTCTCTGAATTACCATAGATCATTTAAATATGTTAATGACAGTTCAGCGACTTCATGATCAATGCAACACGGAAGAGATTTACCGATAATATATTGAAATCTTTTCGCTTTGATTTCCATGAGAAAACAGCATGATTTTTTTTTAAATCAAGAAATTATTTGTTTTCGAAAGATAAACTTAGCATTGGAGAAGAATTTAACACTTTTCTGGTGATAGCAGCTCATTGTCGAAAACTGACAAAACACATACAGACGTATTCAGAAGGAGTATTGACGGAGGTTACCGCCAGAACAAAAGTAGTTTCATTGCGTGTCTGACATCTTATCACCGCTGAACAATAAATATGTGTGAATATTTTAGGCACGTCGTCAAAACAAATGAATAGGATTAGGAACAATGTCGTTTTAGAACAGCTGGTTGAAACAATGAAGTCAGTCATGGTCTTGTTGAATTGGGGGTGCGGTTAGTAATAGATACTTTTCAAGTTTTCAATTTTTGTTAAGAACTCTTTAACCCCAAAGCCGGAATGGGGGGTGCAGTTACTATTACATATGCGGTTTATATTAGGACTTTAACGGTACACAAAGATGGCGATTTTGACAGTTGCGCAGATCAAC